TTGCGAGAGGATCAACTTGTCAAGCCTACAAATTTACCCTCGCAGACCTGCCTTGCCTGAACCCCCATGACTGGATGGTGCTTTTCAACATATTGCTGCGAGAGAAGGAGAAGTACGAACCTGTGATGTCCCATCTTCAACTTATGATCAAGTCATACATTCAAGAAGTTGGATCGATGGATGTGGATATTGCCACTGTTTTAAGGAAGAAACCAAGCGTTGTTCCTAAGGAAGCTCCGAAGGACTTTGATAAGTTAAAGCCAGGAAAAATTTATAAGGAAGGATGTTTCGTAGTATACTCGTCTAGAGAACGTGCAGGAGCATACCGTCATAAGTCTTACTTCTATCTTGAAGATAAGCATTTGTATACTACTGCGTGTCTGGAGTTTGTTTTGGATCTGGTTCAGAAGTTCAAGGGCAACCATAAGGATGATGTGAAGTGTTTCTCGGATATGATCTTGTGGTATATCCAGGTTCGCAAGTTGTTGTTAAGCTTCATTCCCAAAGTCCACGAAGTGCAGAAGCGAATCACCAATTGATGGACAAGGGTCTCCATTGACACAAAGGGGGAGATTGTTGAGTATCATGTATTGCGTCATTGGGCCTGTTTGTTTAGTCCGTTTGTATAAATGAGTTGGGCCTATCCACTCATATTTATTGCTAGGGTTAGAGTATATAAGGTGCATGCATGCATCGTATTTTAGTTAACTCTGATATAATCTTTGTAACCCTATTTACGTCTCTACAGAAGTAATTCTTCATCGAGTTCTTCTGAGGCGTGACTGTTAATCATTCAGCACTAGTTTGATCAACATCGTGTTCTTATTCTTACCTATTTGAATCTATTCGATCTTTAAGGTTTTAATCCTATCAATCATAAATGTGTTCCCATTAGCCCACAAAGGCCCACAGCAGCTTAGTCCGATAAATGACCCAATAATAACCCAAAACCCAATTAGGGTTTTTTTTTACATAAAATGACGATTAGGGTTAAGTGTTCCTACTTAACCCATTAAGGACTTAATCCATTAATTCCATTACTCCACTAGACCAACTTAGTCGGGCATAGTTCAAAATTCCAAACCAATGGTCCTACGCGGGTCCCGACAAATCCAAAATACATATTCTCAAAATTAGGGTTTTCTAAACCCTAATTAGGGTTTTCAACCAAATCAAAAACCAATTAATCCAATAGTTCAGTTTTTACATTAATTAAACTCTAATCTAGTCGGGTACCACCTACTACCACCTCGGGTAGTGGTGGTTGGCGGTGGTTCACGGCGGCAGCCACCACCTCCCGGTGGTGGTGGTCATGTTTTTGGGCCAACACAACACCAAAAGCACTCCAAACATCAATCCAAACGCACCCGACAGTCCACATCCACCCGAGATGGTGGCTAGCAGTGGCGGAACGGCGACAGCAGGTGGCGGAACGGCGACAGCAGGTGGCGGAACGGCGACAGTAGGTGGCGGTGACGAGTTCTCTTCGTTTTTTCCTGGCCAAGCAAAGATCTATACAGCATTAACCCAATAAATAAGTTCATAAACACCCAACCACCCTCCCCACGGTGGCTGTGGCAGCAAAAGGTGGTAGAAGACGGTCAGTGGGTGGCAGTCACCACCTCACGGTGGTGGTGACGGGCCTTCCTTGATTTCCAGTCGAGCAAACCCACATACACCCTCACACATACTATCTAAACACGTGAACACCTCCAAATCAGCCGCCTTGGGTGGCAGACGACGACCGGAAGCGACCTAAGGCCACCGGTGACCACAGCCGGCGTTCACGATGTCGTGTTCACAAAAAACGAAGAAAAGGATATAAGGGTGGCGATTGTCCTTACCGAGAGCCTTCTGTCGTGCACGATCCATGTCCCGCCCTTCACAGCTTTCTCCTTCGTCTCGGTGGTCTCTCCAGCTGTTTACGACGACTCCGACGGTTCTCGATGGCTCATCCGGCTACCACGACGTCTCCGACAGCAGAGCTAGGGTGGTGGTGCTCTACAGCAAGGTGGCATGCGACGGTCTTGGAGCTTCTCAAGGTAGCGGATGAAGATGCCACACATGGTGATGGCGACTGGTGGTATAACGACGTAGGGTTAGGGTTCGTGCAAGGAAACGAGGGGAAGGGATACGGGAGTTAATCCCGTGTCTTACTTCAAACATGTGTGCCATTTGCCAACTTCAGTCCCTCATCCCAAGATTTTTTTCGAAATGAATCCGAAATTTACGATTTAGCCCTTGCCTTATGAAATCTCTTTCAAATCCAGTCCAATACTTACCAAACACACTCTAACTTCTAAAAATCTTTACAAAATTCATCCTGAAATTACACTTTGACCCCCGAAAGTCTAAAATATATCATTTAGCTCCCCGAAACCACACTCCGCTAAATATTATTGGTTTTAGGGCCATTATAAAATAATATAATTTATAAATTTACATCTTGGGGCTCCGGGTTTGTTATTTATTTTAATTAATTTAAACGGAATGTTACACTACTAGCGGCGTTGGGTGGAACAGGTTGGTAGTGTTTCCGTCAGACCTTATATGAAGCTGATTGGTGATGCTCCCGACGATTTTCGACGATGAGATGTGGCGCTTTTGCGTATTCCGACGATTTTGTGGTGGAACCAATAAAATTAAAAAGAACTAATATTATAAACTAAAAATAAATAATAATCAAATAAATATTTATTATATAAAGAAAATAATAAATTAAATGCAATAATCCAATAAAAAAAATTAATTAAAAGAAATTAATAATCTAATAATATAATATTTATTAATATATAAATATTATATATTAAAAATAATATTTACAAATATATAATAATGAAATATCAAAATTAATCCAATAAAAAAGTAATTAAAAAAAGAATTAATATATAATAATTCAATAAAATTTAAAAGAAGAATTGCAGAAATGGTCATTGTAGTTTTGTAAATAGAAACAAATGTAGAAATGGTCTTTGGGTTAAAATTGTCGTTTTAAAAAAGTTAACAGTCAAGTGTTAAAGTTAACAAAACTGAAACCAAAATAATAGCTACACCACTAAGGACCCTTTTTACTAATAAACCTATTTTTTGACCTTACGAGCCAACCACAAGTCCCATTTATGCAGTTTTGCCCTCTCCAATATTGTGAAAGTGGTACTAAATAAATGGTTCGGTTTTAGAACCATTGGGTTTGTATCAAATTAGTTTTTCCGAATTTGGTGTGCATCTACTACCAATCATTTCATAAGGACAAATGGACTCGGCCATCTCGGTTATCCGGTCCAATTAAAATTTATCATAAACAGATGAAAATTGTACATAATTTAAATGACTAATAAAAGGAAAAATGAAAAACCAAAACATCGAATTATAAGATTTACTTGCAGGTTGCATTTGTGCATAAATCAGTCAACTCTGTTGAACTGGTAATGCACTCACCGAGTTCCGACACACAGGACAAGTAGGATGAGTCTTCAACCACATATCTATACACTTCACATGAAAAAAATGGCGGCATTCAGGCAACAACCGTACGACTTCTGCTGGTTTATAATCGGCTAAGCAGATAGAGCAGCCGGAATCCTTGGCATGATGAGAAGTGGTGCCACCTTTGTGAGCTTCACTAGTAGCCTCGGAGTCGGAGTAAACAAATGTTGGGAAAGTTACAAGGACATCGTCATCAAGACCTGGAGAGATTCTTATGAGGTGATGGTTGTGCGTATCATCATTGGTGGTGCTAATTGGTGTTGGTGATTGAGAGCGCCTGCACATGTAAATAGTGTATCCAAATGTGACTAGCAGGAGAAAGCAGAAGACGAATCCGGCCATGAATATGTAGTCGCCGGTTCCAGCGGCTTTGCTGCTGTTGGCAGTGTACGGTGGTTCTACAGCGTACATATTGTGTGTGAGAGAGCTTTGGGGAACTGATAGAGGAATGAGGATGCATATAATGTGTCTATATATATATATATATATATATATATATATATATATATATATATATATATATATATATATATATATATATATATATACTCTTTGAACATATATATACAATTATATTATTTATATAAGTTAGAAGTGGACAAGTGGTCTTTTGCTTGGGCTGCAAACAAATCGAATGGTTATCAGAAACGTTCATTAAACAATGCAAGTAAATAAATATACGTAATTCAAATGGGATAATTTTTTATTTGATGCATATTAAAGTTACAGAGTTTGCGAGCATCTTATAAAAAAGTCTCAATAAACAAAAATTTCTTCATATATGATATATGTAGTACTTCGAACTTCAGTTTTACTAGATTTTCAAGATTTCTGTTTTTAATTTATATAATTTGTCAATCATGTAATAATTAAAATTTAAAAAGTAATACTCCATAGTTAGTTATTTTAGTTTTTTTTCTTTCTAATTTTGAATTTTAACTGAAGCTGCTCCAAATGTAGCTTCTCATCAACGATCCAATTATATAGGAAAATCGACTTCTGTCCCATTCTTGGTCATATAAGGCTTACGGAATTAAATGTATATTTTTAAATATAATTACCTAATTAAAAACCATTACAAATACGTAAGGGGTTACGACTTAGCATACCAATTTAAATAAAGAATTGAATGACCAAAGTTTAAAATATCATCAGTTTTGTAACAATAGAATTTGTAGTGACAGAGAAAGTTCGTGGAAAAAATAATTAGTATTTATCGAGGTTAATTACCTGTCACAAAGTCAAGTTATTCCCATCGTTATATCCGTTGGTAATTGCAACAGAAATTTGGACGCAAACTTTTAATCCCTATATTAGAAACTCTCTAAAACACTTTTCACTTCAATAAAAAAACCCCCTCATCGACTACCAATCAACAAGTTAAAGATCTAATGAAGTAACGATGTTCGTTAATATAAAAAAAATGAAAAAGCTCTAGAGAATCTAAAAGTGAATAAATTTTGAACTATAAGTTTAACTTGTACATATATACTGAATTAATTTGCTCATACACATCAATCAGTCAACTCCTTCCCACACATTGGACAAGTAGGATGAGCCTTCAACCACGTATCTATACACTTGACATGAAATAAATGGCCGCATTCCGGTAACAACCTGACGACATCTTTAGATTTATAATCCGCCAAACAAATAGAGCAACCGGAGGTGTTGGCATCGGTGGCTGTGTCACAGCTGTCAGTAGCACCCTTGTGAGAAATCGTCACCTCGGAGTAAAGAAACGTGGGGAAAGTCACGAGGACATCGTCATCAAGGCCACGAGAGAAGCTTATGAGATGGTGGCTGTCAGTCTCGTCGAAGGTGGTACTGGTGGCATCGAAAGAGATGATGGGTGGTGGTGGTGACCGAGGGCGCTTGCAGATGTTAGAAGCGTAAGTGATAGTTATTAGAAGGAGGATGATGCAGAAGAACGCAACAACGAAAAATTAGGCGTCACCTCCTGGGGGTTTGCCGGTGTGTGGTGGTGCTACGTCGTCCACTGTGGTGTTCATATTGCGTGCGATAAGGTTGGGAAGTTGTTAACTAATGTTGTTTATATGAGAAACTTTGAAGAAAACTGAGAATTTGTTTATTTTCTTAATTTATTTTAAAGGGAAGTAACCATATAATTTAATTGAGTTAATATAATATTTAGTTTTTATATTCATATTACATTCGTATATCATATTTATATAGAATTAAAGATGCTTTGCTGCTCACGTTTTACGGGGAGAGAAGTTCTAGTGAAGAAGATGATAAATCACCTCCCTTAAGCATACCTTCTTTTATTTGGTGTAGTTGGTGGGTATTATATTAAAAAATGTCAACTTATGCCACTCATTTGGGTAATATATATATATATATATATATATATATATATATATATATATATATATATAGAGAGAGAGAGAGAGAGAGAGAGGTAGGTTCAAATGTGGATGTACAAATATTGTGTCGATGTAGGGATTAATATGAACCAAGTATTTATGCCACTCATTTGGGTAATATATATATATATATATAATATATATATATATATATATATATAGAGAGAGAGAGAGAGGGGTAGGTTCAAATGTGGATGTACAAATATTGTCTGGATGTATGGATTAATATGAGCCAAATATTATTTAATTTTAATAAATAATTTATTAAATCATCTATCCTTTAATTTAGGCAAATTAGTTTATTTAAAACTCTATTGTCTCTTCCATCGACACCCACAAAATCGCATCCCTCCCGTTTCCATCCAGAATTACCACCTCCAGCTAGCACATCCTCTCTCCTGTGAAGCTACCATTGAAGCACTGCAACCCACCGTACATCTTCAAACTACGATTGTTGTCGTTCTTTCTCTCTCTCTCTCTCTCTCTCTCTCTCTCTCTCTCTCTCTCTCTCTTTCACTCTTTTTCTCATTCGATTTGGTTTAAATCAACAAAAGAGCAAAAATCGTGATTTGGTTTTTGAATCATCACCAGATCGATGCCATAGGGATTTAGGCTTTAAGGTAGGAAATTGAGAACCGGGCATCGGTGGAGGCGGTGGTTGTGGTTGTGGGAGGAATGGATTTAATTATCGCCATCGTCAAGATCGGGACTCAATTTGACTGTGTGCTTCATCGATTCAGCCGACCCTATTCTCTTAGCCATCATCGATTTTTCCCAGGTAAGTTCTCGATTCCACAAAATCGGTATGTTGTACAATCCCTTAATCTAAATCTGCGTTTTTGAATTTTATTTTTTTGTCAATTCAATTGTTTAGGTCTCCCTGCCTCACAGAAGTTCCCACACGCACATACCTCACCTGAAGGTCCAACTATGGCGAATAACTCCAACACCAACAATGAAAATCTATTTTCTTCATTGATTTGTGATATCAAAACCTACAATGGCGCAGATCCTCTTCTCCCATCGCTCCGGTAAGCACAAAACCCTAAATCTATTTTTCCTGCAGTTCCTTGTCACAAATTGAAATCTGTTTTCTTGTAGCAACTGTGCTTAGATTGAAAAATCATTCATATTTAATATTTATGTTATTGTTGTGTATGTGAAGTTGGATTTTGTTGATGACCCTGGTGCTGTTCTGGAGAACATGAAGGCGAATCACATTGGGAACAAGAGGTCACTATTTAACCAGGCATATGCTCTTTATTATGAGAAATTGAAGAAATTTACTGATGCTGAAAAGATGTATCATTTAGGAGTGCAAAAGTAAGTGATTGTTATTTGTTATTTTTCAAAATGTACATTCAATTTGAACTGTTCGCTGAAATTCTTAGCTTCATATACTTGAAGCCTTATTGTTTTTTTTTTTGAGTAATTCGTTATATGATTTATTGGTTTTTACCTTTTGCAAGCTTAATTGATAACTGGTAATGTGATAACGGATTTGTTTGTAGAATCTATACTACAGTATGAATAATGTGAGGTGAGGTAATTAAATATTTGAATTTTGTTTTACATAATGATCAGGTGAAGTAAAACTTATGAGTTAATTCCAACAGAATACATACGGTAATTGAATCTTCAATTCCAATTCTATTGGAATGGAATCACGAATTCCAATTCTGTTGGAATGGAATATGAATATTTTCTCACTAATTTATGCATGTTCTACAATTATTGGTTATTGGTTTTGGTGCAATTCACAAGTCCGCATATTTTTCCAAAGGAATTTAGTTTTTTATTTTTCATTTGCTAATGCATTATTGGATTCTAAACTACAATTTGGCTTTGTTTTCACAGAATTTGATGCTTGAAGAACGGACCACAAAATTGAAAGTGATTCTAAGCAACATTATTCTTTTAGAATGTATTAGTGTTTTTGTTAAATTTTGATGTTTTCTTTCCCGATTTGAAAGTTTTTTTAGTTTTATTCTTTAACAATAAATGTAATTCTTAATAATTGTTACTCGTATTCTATAAGAATTAATGTAATTTTTGTTATTATTCTTCAACTCATCGGTTCAAATTTTTTTTATTTTTCAAAATGTTCATTCAATTAGAATATGTATTCTGCCCGAATATCATTCTAACAGAATATGATCGTTTATGATTAAAAAAATATGTTCGATTTGAATTAACTAAAAAACAATCATAATTTTTAAAATTAAAAAATCAATTATCCCTTGAAATCCGATAATTTCCATTTTTAAATATAATTTAATTTAGGAAAAATGTTTGGACCACAAAGGATCCTTACATCCACACAATAGTTACAATCCACATTATAACCTATCTCTCTCTCTCTCTCTCTCTCTCTCTCTCTCTCTCTCTATATATATATATATATATATATATTATATATATATTATATATATATATTATATATAATATATATATATATATATAGATTATTCTATTCTAACTAATTATTGTATGGATGTAGGAATGATTGTGGGTCAATCATTTTACTTATTTTAAGAAAGTGATTAATACATATTATTGAATTAAATATAATTAAAAAATATCATCTAATTTAATTACAAGGGTATTTTAGTCAATTAATATAGATTTAATAAAGGAAAATTGTATATTTTAAGGGATCATAGATTCTATTAATTTTAAAAATCTGATTTTACGAATTATAATTCTTTTAATTCGGACATTCTGACAGAATACGGGTAAACAAATTCTTGATCATGACTTTAAAAACTTCTTGTAAAATAACAAATTCTTGTACCATCAATTGAAGAATAAAAACAAAAATTACATTAATTCTTATAGAATACGGATAATAATTGCTAAGAATTACATTTATTGTTAAAGAATAAAACTAAAAAAAACTTTCAAATCGGGAAAGAAAACATCAAAATCTAACAAAGACACTAATACATTCTAAAAGAATAATGTTGCTAAGAATCACTTTCAATTTTGTGGTCCGTTCTTCAAGCATCAACTTCTATGAAAACAAAACCAAATTATAGTTTAGAATCCAATAATGCGTTAGCAGATGAAAAATAAAAAACTAAATTCCTTTGGAAAAATATGCGGACTTATGAATTGCACCAAAACCAATAATCCAAAAGTAATAATTTATTAAAAGTACAACGATATTAAAGAACATTTTTTTGCAAAGTTCAATACTAAAAACATTTTTCCTAGAAAACTCTCATAATAATTACCAACTAATGAACATTTAAAATTATATATTACATAAATGGTCCATTTGTGAAAAAAAAAATACATAAATGGTGCATATTTAATAAAAATCCCATAAATGGTCCACATGTGAAAGAAAAATGCCAATGTACTTTCCATTAACATAAAATTTAAAAAAAAAAAAAATTGTCGTCTTAATGAGCTCTAATGTAAAAAAAAATGAAACTTTTCCATATCATCTAAAATGAATCCGCAAAGTAATAGTTTTTAAAGTACGATGATACTAATGAACTTTTTTGAAAGTACCCTCACATATTAAGAACATCGATTACACAAGTTTCGGGAATGTTGCAAACAAAGGATATAACGTTGATTGTAAATAGACTCACAAACAAACATAGGTAAACACATTAAAAAATCGATATAAAGGATATAATTTTGTTTTTGTAACTAAATGAATGAAACTAGTATGCTTAAAGTAGATTGATTAATTTTTTTCATGACCTCTCAACAAGAATACAATAATAATAGGTAATAAAGCAGAGTAAATGCAAGAAATTTGAGAAGAGAAGGAGAACAAAGTAAAGAAAGAATCTGGAAAAAAGAATTGGAGAAGAAGACCACTGAAGAAGAACACTGTAAATCGTAGGACTCAATACAAAATTGTAAGAATAACAACTTCAATGTAATCGTATATATATAAATGGTGTTTTTTAATAAGAAAATCATTATTTTACAAAAAAATGGGATCCTAAGATATCATCTTGGAGATTTTTCGGCTATTCATCTTGAAAAAAGAAAGATATACGTTATATTGATTCAAAATTATAAATTAATTGACTTGCTTATTTAATGAGTTTTAAAATTCAACCATTATCTCAAATTGATTCATTTTACGTGGGATATACTGGAAGATAAATTATAAATAATATTGACTTTAATTCTGACTCTCAAATATTTTGCTAATTTAATGGGATTATATTAGATTTTATAGGTTAATAACCGAATTATTGATATGCTTATTTAATGAATTTTTTCACAAAAAAACTAAACGTGTTTGAATTTTGAAGCCAAAATATATAAATACGGGAGTTAAATTAGGAACAATATTGATTAGGATTAATGATGGTAAATGTTTACTATTAAATTTATCAATAAATTCATAAGGAATTATAAATAATTATTTTAGAATGGTTAAAAGATTTATAAAAGTTTACAATTTCATAAAAAGTTGTAGTTTTCTAATATTTATATTGAAGTTGTAATGAATAACATTGTAACAATGTTGACAAATTCACATTCAAACAGAATAATAGAGTAAAAATGATTAAAATTCTAAATTCATCTCAGTTTAAACCCAAAAGACAAATAGATGAATAATTTAACATTACATAAAACCCAAAATGTATTCA